TGATAGATAAATAATTGTTGGTCAAATTTTGGGGTGCAACAGACACATATTTTGACATCTCTATATGCAACGCCCGAGATATTTTATGCAAGCAAAAAAACAAGGTATGCATATGCAACATGGTGATAACGCCCAACATCGATTCTTCTATGAAGCTAAGTTTTGACATCATCAAAACAAGCATATCTTGTATATGAGGCTTTGCCCTTACATTTGATACAAAATATTTAACAACGGTTGTGCTAAACAGCCGTTGTGGTATATACACCTGAGTTTATTATAAATTATATGGAATGCTTATTTCGCCAATGCTCATTAAACATATAATCTTTCAATCTGCACTAGAACATTATAATATGACAAATTAAGTTATATTAGAAAAACAAGTTCACGTTCAATGTTAGACAATAGTTTTTCAACTTCTTATCCGCATTTTGCTCTTTAAAAGTTATAACTTAGTTTAATTATCCAAGTTCTTCAACTACCGCTGCCTTCACCTCTAGTTCATTTTGCAAAAAATTATTTGCTTTACAAACAAAATTAGAGGTGGAAAGAAGGGTGGTTGAAGAACTACAATCACTATACCTCTCATTACATGATGTTTTCTATAGATCTTTTTTCTGATCAGGAGTGAAAGGCTTTCTATTAGAAATCATTCCAACACCATTGACCTGAAATTCAATGCCATCTTCTAAGGTGTCCCATAACTCATCATCCAAACTAATGATATGAGTATACATCTTGCTCTCCAACCATTCAAATTTAGTAGAGTCGCCACTAAATGTTGGTGGTCTAGAAACATAGTTCTTTTGACTAGATGTACTTTGATTGTGGTTGTTGCTACCACAAGGAGAATCTCCCTCAGGACTAGTTATGGTAGAACTACCATCCATGAAGAGAGTTGTATATTTGTCAAGATATTTTTTGTACCGCTGTTAAGTGTTAATACACAGACCATTTTCAGAGTCAGATATCAGAAATAGTTAAAATAGCAGAAATAAAGTGATCAGAAGTAAAAGCAAGCAACACACAAACATTATCCTGGTTCCTCTCCTTAACTGAGAGTAGTCCAGTCCCCTTGTCTCAACAAGATATTTTCACTATAACCAAACAGATTAAAATTTTCTCATGAACATTTACAAGAGACTTCAATGCTCAACCAACCTAGAAAGAGACTTCTGCTCAAGCAACCTTGCAAGAGACTTCTGCTCAAGCAACCTTGCAAGAAACTTCTGCTCAATCAACCTAGAAAGAGACTTCACTGCTCAAGTACATAGACAAGAGACTTCAATGCTCAAGCATGCAGGAAAGAAACTTTCTCAACTTTAAACAAATAGTTTAATAGAAAAGATGACTATTATACTTAGATAGACAATCAGAAGTATAATAGTTGTGCAACAAGCACAAAGGTTCTTAACCTCTTAAGATTTCTAAAATATACAAAGATAAGAAATCTTAAGATCTTATGCAATAATAGTTACAAATAAACCCCAGAGTTATGCTCAAGATATTATAATTTGTTGTGTTGTTGTACCCATTCCTTCAAATCTCCAATATCCTTTCATATAGGTAAAGAAAGAGTCGTTGGAGGGTTTGAACATAAGATCTAGCTTAGTGAAGAAGCATGCCAATAGAGACGTTGGAGAATGTATCTGGTTAAAAGAATTGTCCATGAAATGATGCCTTTGTTCACAGCATCATGAGATGAAAGTTCCTCTTCAACCTAACACTCTCTACCCCCATCTAAAGGGTTAATGTATAGTTGACAAAAATCAAATCATAGAGATAATTCAATCCTTATGTTGACTTTATTTTCTAGGATTAGACTGACTCCACTTCCTTGACTGTTCAATGAACCACCTGTAAGTACTACCCATGCATGAGTCGTCTCTAGGGTACCCTAGGTCATTTCTTTTATGAAGTCTACAAACAATTGTTCCTTCCATGTTTTTATTGATTCTAAGGAAATATCAATTTCAGATATCTCAATGGACCACTTCGTCAATCACCCACCCAAATTTGGTTGGTGAAACACATGCTTCAATGGTAAGTCGGTTTAAATGACTATGGTGTAGGCTAGAAAGTAACTTCATAGTGTCCTGGATGTAGTTACTAAAACCAATAGAAACTTATTTATCTTTTGATAGCACTTCTTTGGTCTGGGAAACGCTTTGGAGATTGGACTTTGGGTTGAGTTCGGCTCTCTTTTAAGGATGACGATAAAAGCTTCATCGAATACAACCAAGTAAAGGTACATAATTTCCCCGAATGTAGGTCAAGATAGTAATAGTGGAGTTGATATGTCCATTTTTAAATATGTAAATGCTTGTTGACATTTTGAGGTCCGCTAAAAAAGTGCTTCTATCTTCAACAATTTGTAGAGCAGCAAGAAGTGTTATGCTAATTTCGAGATGAACATGTTTAAGGCTATCTTCATCCCATTCAACTTCATGACTTCCTTCTTCTTTGTTGGTTCTTCTATTTGGATGACCACCTAACATTTATACGAACATACTTATATGCCCCTTTCCATTAGATAGAAGTCCAAAAACTTGTCGACTATGACTCCAAAGGTGCACTTTTCTTGGTTAAGCTTTGTATTATATCATGGACTACTCATAGCATGGATGCAAGGTGTTGGTAGTGTAATCCCTCTTCGCTAGATTTAAAGATCATATAATCCATGTACACCTCTAATGTTTTTCCTATTTCTTCTCCGAAAACCTTATTCATCATCCTATGGAATGTTTCCTCTACATTCTTCAAGCCAAAAGGCATCAGTTATACTGATAATTGGCTTATTTGGTCATGAAGGGCATGTTCTATCTATTTGGCATGTACATGTGTATTTAGTTGCAGCTTGAATACACATCCATAAATGACAAATTTTTTTACTTGGTTGAATCATCCGCCAAATTGTCTACTCTTGGGAGTGAGTATAAGTATTTTGGACACGTTCTATTAAGGTCGGCGTAATAGACGCACATTCTCCACTTCACAAAAGCTTTATTGACTAGTACCATATTGGATAGCCATTAAGTGTACCTTACTTTAGAGATAAAGTTAGCGTATAACAAACCCTAGATGGTCTTCGTGGTTACTTGATTCTTCTACGGTGACAACCACTTTCTCCTCCGGGACACGTATAAAGCACCATAATTGATGTTTAATTGATGACATGTTACATTGGGGTCTATGCCTGATTTCTTATTGGGAGAAACGATGAAGAGGTCAGTGCTAGCTCTTAAGAACTCAAAGAATCCTTTCTTAACTACGATGGGTAGGTCGACCCATATCTTCACCGATTGCATTGATTGTAATATAACTAGATATCTTAGATCACTTCATCTAGAATTGGCCTTAAGATTTTTGTCTTGATCTCGGTTGAGGGATCAAAACTGTTTCCTTAATTCTTTTTGAAGGGTTCTTGCCGCATATATAGAGCTCTTCAGTATGTCTTCATGTATTTGTCGTGCTCTACACATGTCGGTAATGATCACAACTAGTTTGCTAGAAGTGATGTCGTACTTCATCTTTAAGTGAACGAAGGAAGCCACAATGTCCAGAGTAGCTAAGAATGACCAACCAAGAATTTTGTTTAAATGCTTTCACAAAGAATCACAAATATGTGAAAGTTTAGGGTTCTAATATTTTTTCCTTCCCCCTAGGAAGTCAATAAATCTACATGTCCACATGGACAATATGAAGAATCGTTAAATACTATGCGGCTCTAGCCCTCGCATGGCCTTAAAGCTTGCTTTCTTAATCCCAACTCTCTGAAGTTTATAAAGTATATCAAGTTGCAGGAACTCTTATCGTCGATGAGTATCCTTGAGAAAAGGTGATTAGTGATGGTAGTAATAATGATCAACAGAAGCGTTGCATTAGGAGTTCCATCAACCTTCTCAAGGCCTTGGAACCCAAGGATTGGTCTTTCCCTCGTGTGTTTCTCAATTATCGATGCTTATTTGAGAGAACCTTGCGATGGAGATTCTTCTTTTTTGACCAGATCTCCACCGGTTGCATCAATGAAGAAGATTGAAGGTGATCTCAAATTGGATGATTCTGAAGTAATTTTATAAACGAAATCTGAAGCTTCTTCCATCTTGCGTAGCTATTAAAGCAGCTGAGGCTTTAATCAAAAGAGTTTTGATTGGGTCAGGAGAGACCTAATTGAATATGAAGAAATCTGATTGTGAAAATTCGTGGAAATCAGAATTCAATTCCCACATACGATACCATTGTTCCATTTAGGAACATTAATTATTGGTGTACATTCTTGATATGGTGGTGCAGATCTTCAATGTAGTTGCATGAGGGTGGACTGGCAATGTTAGTATTCTAATGATTAAATCAGTGAGTGAATGAAGAGAGGTAGAGTGAATCGTGATTAGAATCCTACTTTAAACTACACATGTGATGACTTATATATAATAGACAATAATTGAACTTATTTTGCATTGGACATGTGGGTGACCTATAACAAATTCCATTACTTGTTTGTTCTATAAAAGAAAGAAATTTTTAGAAAAGGAGTTTCTCCCTTCATCACATCTTAAAAGACATTAGAAATACATGACATTTTAAATATATTAATATTTTTATTTTAGTACGTAGACGAAGTGATAATTATCATAAAAAATTCACACACAATCATAAGTGGATTAACATATTTTGTTATAACGCCCAACCTAATAACAATAACGTGTTTTTTTAGTTGAATTAAGCATTACGGAAAACCATACAAATATCTTTTCAATTATTTGTAGCACAAAGTATAATTTTAATCAAAAGAAATAATTTTTAAAGAGCAAACAAGCAACCTAATCTCGAATAAAAACAAAAACAATAGCTAGGAGTACTAAATCTATTATGAATTTTTTTTTCTTCTAAAAAACTAATCTAAATGGATCATTTTATATGGTAGGAAAATTATTAATTAAAGTAAGTTCATTTTAGAATGTTTCTTAATTAAAGAAATCGAAACATAAATTACAACATCATGGATAAAAAACAGGTTTTTCAAGCTTAGCAGGAGCAAGATTTGGATCATCCAAAATAGCTTGAAAATCTTTCTTTTGGTTATACAAAAAATCCTTCAAAAATGCAACAACTAACCCACCCAAAGTTCTTATCATCAAATCCTTAGGCCCAACTCCATTCTTACACATACACTTCAAAAGTCTACCTCTTAAACCTTGTGTATCTTCATCCAACATATCCATATGACCATAATCCTTAGTAACAAAATGTGCACAAGGTGGTTTACTCTCCCTGAAAAATTCTTCATGGTTCACCCCCTCAGGAGCACAGGCTTTAGGAGAGCAGTTAGAAGGTTCTGGGCCTAGCCCAGTTCCGATTACCATAACGGGCATGTTTAAATTGAAGGATCGGGCCTGGCCCGTTAGAATGTGAGGAAGTGTTCTTGTTATCTTGCACTTACTTGGGCCTGCCACTGGATCTATTCCAATTAGGGCTGAAAAATTAGGGTTGGTTTTTGCATGTTCTAGGGCTAGGGCAAAGACTGTTTTTCCACCTTTACTATGACCAGCTAGAACCAATGTGTCCAATTTTGCTTTAACATTTTGTTGAATGTTTTCATTGAGCTTAGGTTGAAGTCCTTTGGCTATCCAATCTGCAACTTTTCCGGCAAATTTTACTTCACATACTCCAAGCATAGGCAAGTTCAAGGTAAACTAAAGAAACAAATGTGTTAGAAAATATGAAAAACTATATTAAGAGGTGTTAGAATAAACATTTTAATATATTATTTATTGAATCAACATTATTCATACATACTTTTTTTTAATAAGTAATCTAGCAGTTGAAGTCTACCTTATTAAAGATAAACAAGTGAGATGTCGCAGGTTCGAACTTGCACTTTTAAAATCGATATCTCCATACAACTATCAACTGAACTCTCTTAATGAGAGATTGTATATACATTATATATCATATCATAAGTGTGTAAAGTCGGATCAACAATATGTTATAAATGTAAATTGATGAGAATATAGACACTTTAAAAGGGTCACATCTCTCAACAAATGTTTTTTATATGCACCATTCATATAGTATGACCACATATTTAAAAGATTCAGATATGTCACACCATATTAATAAATTGTAGATAAGATTTTAATTGAAATATTAATAGAAGATAATTGGAAGAGGATCCTCTAATTTTAGTTAGAGAATTGCAGTCTGATTTTCACTGCATCAATTTCTAAAATATGCAATTCCTCTCATCTTGTTTTATTTTAATATCTTTATCACTTCTAAGTTAAAGAAAGTTAGAGAATCCAAATTTAAAGGATTCTCATCTTAACAAGGTCATTTTAATATTTTGGGAGTCGATTAATCACGATTTAAATTTGATTATCATGTTTTAATTATGGTAAATATTTTATAAAATTTCTTTTTAATCACAATTTAATCACAATTTAACATGGCCATCCTTCCACAATTATGTAATCTAACTGGGGAGAGGAATCTAAAATTTTAAATATAAGTAAGGTCATAAAGATATATATGAAAAAAAAAAAGAAGAGAAAAAGTTAAAAGAGGGAAAGTATATACCAATTGAGGAGCAACAACAATGAATCCATGAGAAGATATGTGGCCCAAGAGGTTAGAGTAGTAACTATTAGAAATGGCATAACCATGGCAGAACAATATGACAGGGTATGTTCCTTCCACTGTTGGTGCAAACACCAACAATGGTTTTGGCGATGTGTTAACACTGAATTGTTTCCAACTAATGTTTCCAGCTTGGAAAACATCTGTGCCTACGTTGTTGGTGTTGGTGGCTAATAATGGTTTACCTCTCAATGCCATATTCAACACTCTAAGCTATTCTCACACTGAATAATGAGACTTTTAATTTGCTTGTGAAGTGTACTTAAAGTCTAAGCAGTGTAGATATTTTTTTTATGTATTCATTGGGTTCTGTTGTGCGTAAGATAAACGTGTGAGTATTTTAGATAATTAATTTATAATTTTGTTATTTTAGGACAAATTGTTTTGAGAAAAATAACAATATGTTATCCTATTAATATTGTGTGGTTTTTATTATATGAAGTATGCTTTTATTATGTTGCCTCTACTTTTGTTGTTTTGTGTTTGTAATATCTTTTTCTCACTTTGGATGGAAGGAAACCATACAAACAACATGATGATGACAAGTCTGAGGTGCCAATAGGCCACTTAAATATTTTCTGTATTTTTCAATAGAGTCCAAAAATAAATTAATTAACAATTGGCTACTTTGTAAGAATTAATTTAGTGTGAAACATGTTTATACTAATTTGACAAAGCTAAACTTTCAATAACATGAAAAATACAATCAGAGGTGAAATGAAGTTGCATAGTATACAGTAGTATTTATACATAAGTTATACAACATAATCTTTACTATTTTATACATAGATTACTATAACAACACATACGGTAGTCATCTAATCTATTCTTCTTGCAATATATCTTATCTAAACCATTTAAATATATTCATCTAATAAAAGAGAGTTGAAAGAGAGTGTTGAAAAAAGTTTGTTGGGAGTATACCTCCTCCTTATCCTTATTAGTGTGTGAAATACTTTTGTAAGAAGAAAAAAAAAAAGAGAATAAAAAAAAACGATTTATTGAATTGTTATAAAATAATAATATATATTATGACTATTTATATACACTCAAAATAATAAATTAAATAACAAAGTTTAATTGGGTTTGGGCCATCACAACTTGGATTATATCTAAATATTAAATCTAATCAAATCTAATATAATATTTCAACATACTTCCCATAATCCAAGTTGTCGAATCTATGCTAGTCATAGTCGATCTGAACTATTCCTAATTTTTTTCTCAAATTCAGAAAGTTGTCGATCTTTAATTCTTTAGTGAAAATGTCAGCCAAATGTGTTTTACTTGAGCAGTGCCTAATTTCAAGTTCAACTTGATTTACCTTTTCCCTTAATAAGTGAAATCTAGCTTTGATATGCTTACTTCTTTCATGCAAAACTAGATTTTTTGCCAGGTTTATGGCAGACTTGTTGTCGATTTGCAACACAAGACTTTTCCTCACTTCTACCACCATTTCTTCAAGTACCGATCTGATCTAAATTGTTTGACATGCAATATAGGATCCTGCTATATATTCAGCTTCACATGATGATAATTCCACCATAGGTTGCTTTTTCGAGCACCGAGAAATTAGGGCACCAAATACTTGAAAGAAATATCCAATAGTGCTTCTTCGATCTTCCTTATCTCCGCACCAGTCAACATCTGAATGACAAGTAACCATAGCTTCTTTACTTTCAGAGTCTCGTCGAAATAAAATTCCATAGTTTGTCGATCCTTTTAAGTATCTCAGGATTCTTCATGTAGCTTTCATGTGTGACACCCTTGGTTCACTCATGTATCTGCTCACTAATCCGACTGAGAAACATATATCAGATCGATTGTTGCACACATATCTTAGAGATCCGACAATCAGTTTGAACAAAATTGCATCGACTTTGTCTCCCTTTCCATGCTTCTCCAACTTTAAATTTGGTTCGATAGGAGAAGATGCAGTTGTCAAATCATCTATTCTGAATCTCTTGAGTATCTCTTTGACATACTTTCTTTGATGTAGCACCATGCCTTGCTTCGTCATTTGAAATTCCATGCCTAGGAAGTATGACAACTTTCCTAGATCCGACATTTCAAATTCCTTCTTCATCAGCTCTTTGAACTTCGACAAGTTCTTCAGGCTATTTCCAATTATTAGCAAGTCATTGACATATAAGTAGATTATTGTTATATCTTGTGCCACTACTTGAACATAGACACCACACTCTGATTTGCATTTTATGAATCCCAATTCAACCAAGTATGAATCAACCTTCTTGTTCCATGCTCTAGGTGCCTGCTTGAGACTATAGAGCGCTTTGTGCAACTTGTATATTTGACCTGCTTCCTCATAAATCACAAACCTATGAGGTTGTGTGACCTACACCTCTTCTTCTAAAGGCCCATTCAAAAATGTTGATTTCACATCTAAGTGAAATGTTGACCAACCTTGCTTGCATGACTAGTGCAAATACTTCAAATTAGTCGAGTCCTGCTCTTTGGAGAAATCCTCGAGCTACCAATCTCGTCTTATGCCTTGCTACCGACCCATCAACATTGAGCTTCAACTTGAACACCCACTTTACTTCAATAGCTTTTGTATGGGCTGGAAATTCGACAAACTCCCACGTGTTGTTTCTTTCAATTGCTTGTAACTCTTCGACCATAGCAGACTTTCATTGTTTATCTTTAAAGGCTTCGCTATAGTTGATTGGTTCAACACCTGCAAGTAAAGCAATATGGATTAGTTTCCCATCTATTATGACTTCATCATCACCAAATACTTCATAGTCTTGAAGTCTTGCTGGACGAGCTCTAGTTCTTTGAGGTCACTGACTTGTGCCAGCCATATCCTCTTCGAATTCAACATTATTACTGAAGGTGAGAAAATACTTAGAGGGGGGGGGGGGGTTGAATAAGTATATAGAAAAACTTATAGCAATAAAAACTCAAGGATTTTTATCCTGGTTCGTTGAACTCAACTACTCCAGTCCACCCTATCAAGAGTTATTTGCCTTTCTCAACAAGGACTTAATCCACTATTAAATCAACTGATTACAATAGCAAGCACTAAGAACAACTGTTCTTAGTCTTCTCAAGAACTACTGATCCTAACTGGATCTTCTTAAGGTTCTTTTACAATCAAATGTAAGAAAAATACAAGTGTTTAAATTGCTTCTAATTAAGCTATATCACAACTGTGATTTATCACTTAAGATTTAAGAACTATGAAATAAATTCAGCTAATGAGAATGAATTGTATGAGAGATTTCTTTGAATTCTTTCAATGTTTCGTCAACTGAAAAAGAGTGATGGAGTCTTCCTTTTATAGGCAAAGATGTCCAAGTAGCTATCACGTTGAAGGCTGTGTACTAAAAGGTCTGAGCCTTTTTGTCTTCACATCACATGACCTTTCCTAGAAATAGAGTGCACAGAGAAATCCTTTTTGTCTGTGTTCTTGTGTCTAGCATAAATGAGGAAAGAGTCGTTTGGCCATACCAACAGACATAAGTTTGAATTCTTCTTCAACAAGTTTCGGCAAAGTATCATCAGAGTCTTGAGCAGTCAGAGCCTTCTGATGTTCATTAGAGTTTGATGAATCAGAGTCTTTGCAGCATGTGTGCTTTCAGCGTGTAATTGTTCAGAGCAGAGTTTTGGGGTCAGATCCTCAGTACTGGCAGCGTAGTACTATCAGAGTCTTCTGAAATAAACTAAGCTTGAAACTCTTCATACAAAATTCTTCAATGCTTCAGATGCTTCTGGCTTCTGCTTCAGATTCTTTTGTAGCTTCTACTTCAGATCCTTCTGTAGACAGCGCTCAGAATCTTCTGTAGACAGCGTTCAGAATCTTCTAACAGATGCTTCTGACGCTTCAGAGCCTTGCATATTTTTCATGTTCAGATCTAATTTGCTTCCAGAATAATATTCACTTTAATATCTGCAGCAATAATTCTTAAACAAATTTTAGAGTATATAATTCTTTAATACAAAATTTCATAAGAGTTATCATCAAAACATAGAGATATAATTAAGAACCAATCTGTGTTCTAACAATTACCTGCTGCGACATCTTCTTCGACTAGAGTATCAACAATGCCTTCGACTTCGACATCATTACTTGCTTCGTTGGAATCATAGTTCATCAGTGGCTTGTCAATTTCATTACTGGAATTCCAATCCCACACATAATTTTCATTAATCACAATATCTCGACTCATCATAATCTTCTATTAATTGGATTGAACAATCTGTATGCTCCATTCTTACGATATCCTACCAGAATTATAGGTTCACTCTTATCATCAAGCTTCCTTCTCTTAGCATCAGGAGTATGCTTGTAAAAAATAGATCCAAGCACCTTTAGATGACTCACTGATGGTCGTTTGCCACTCCACACTTCTTCAGGAACCTTGCTCTTCAGCTTCTTGGTAGGGCACCTGTTCAGAATATAAACAGCAGTCAAAATATCTTCACCCCATAAGGATTTTAGCAAATTCTCATAAGGATTTTGGCAAATTCTTGTGCTTCAGCATGCATCTTGCCATGTCCAATATAATATTGTTTCTTATTTATGCTACTCCATTATGTTGAGGAGTATAAGGAATAGTTATCTCATTATCAATATCATGTTCTGCACAGAGTGCTTCAAATATCTTGGATGTGTATTCGCCACCTCCATCTGTTCGCAGAACTTTAATTTTCTCTTCACCCTGGTTTTCGATAAGTATCTTGAATCTCTTAAAATTTTCAAATACTTTGTCCTTTTGTTTGATTACATAGATCCAGAGCTTTCGACTGTACTCATCAACAAATGAGATGAAATACTTGCTTCCACCAATGGTATGCTCTTCAAAAGGACCACATACATATGAATGTACGACTTCGAGTATGCATGATGATCTCATTGGCATAGTCGAAACGAAAGACTTCCTGAAATTCTTTTCGACTAGACAACCTTTACAGAGTTTGTCGGACATCTAAAGACTTGGTATACCAATTATCATATCATGAGTGTTCAGTTGATTTAGCAATCTAAAGTTTAGATGGCCAAACCTCAGATGCCACAACCAACTATTCTTGTGGTTGATAACTATTTTCAGACAGTGTACCTCAATCGAATTGATCATGGTCTTAAATATTCTATTCTTCGACAGAGGAGATTTCAAGACCAAGTTATTCTGAATATCAAAAAGTTCTAAGGCTCCATCTTTCATAACCACTGA